AACTAAGTGAAAATCATTTCTTTGTCACTTTTTTTTAAGTTAGAGAAAGAAACCAAAAAAAAAACATGTAGCCTCTGGTAAACTGTTACATAACCATGGAACATCACCATTTTTGATGGGTAAATCAACGAACTAAAATTGCCATCTATAGGTATGTAACAAATTTCCAGAAAGTATGTAACCAATGTATTTTCAATGTCCATCTGGGATGTTTGGTACCCCGATCGACTGCCATGCAGTGAAAAAAGCCTCGGCGGTTCACCTACAGCCAGATCCGCACCGGGCGCTCCTTGAGGCGCCACAGTTCCAGACATGGCCCCAGTTCGGGCGCGACGTTCGTGTCTTTCGTGGGGATGAGACCAACGAATTTCATGGGTCCAAGTTCGTAGGTTCAAGCCCAATGTTCCCTGGAGGTTTCCAATCTATGGTGGTACCCCCAAATCATACCATGTTATTTTAGGATTTTCCATGAAATAAAGCATCCAGCTATTGGGGTACCACCATTTTAGGAAACCCCCTAAATGTTCTGACAAAAATGGGTCAAAGTGTCCGAAAGAGCGGCTGAAGCTGGAAAAATGGGCAGCGCGAGCGATGCAGTGGAGCGGTTTGATGTTTTCAGTGGGACGCGATTCTTGGTTTATGTGAAACAAAACAACAATCAGTGTTTGACATAAACCAACAAACATGAGGAGTGTTGAGGAGTTTTCTTGAAACATGGGAATATTTCGTGGAGATAGAATGCCGAAGATAATGGGGATATAGTGAGTATACACTCATTGATCATGATCTAGTTGGTATCATCCAACTAGGTGTTTGTTTTCAATCATTAAACAATTGGATGATGATGGATGATGATCCCCAAAATACGAATATATCTTTGAGTTGGGGTTTGAAACTGTAATGACAAACCAGGTTAGTTTGCCAAATATGTAAAGATTGTAATTTCCAACTCTTTGCTAATAGCTTGGCCAGTGGTTTTGTTTTTTTTGGGGGGGAGGGATACCATTTCGAAAGCCTGAGCAACGTTGTATTTCAAAAGGAGTTGGAGAACCACATTTCATGTTGCCCTCAAGTGTTCAACAGGTATATCATCTATGAATGTGCCATAAAAAAAACGGTTAAATTACCAGAGGGTATTTTTGGTGGGGGTAAGATGTTATAAAGTTTTTTGTTCCCCACCTGCCAGGTGAGGGTTGTTAGATTTTATCAGAGCTGTTCTCCTCCTCCTCCGCCTCCGCCTCCTCCGCCTCCACCTCCGCCTCCCGCCGCCTCCTCCTCGCAGTCCAGATCCCAGTGGGCACAGCCGGACCTCCACTGCGAGCTCCAGATCCCAGTGGGCACTGCCGGACCTCCACCGCGAGCTCCAGATCCCAGTGGGCACTGCCGGGCCTCAACCGCGACTTCCAGATCGCAGTGGGCACTGCCGGACCTCAACCCCGACTTCCAGATCGCAGTGGGCACTGCCGGACCTCAACCGCGAGCTCCAGATCCCAGTGGGCACTGCCGGACCTCAACCGCGAGCTCCAGATCCCAGTGGGCACTGCCGGACCTCAACTGCGACTTCCAGATCGCAGTGGGCACTGCCGGACCTCAACCGCGACTTCCAGATCGCAGTGGGCACTGCCGGACCTCAACGGGAAGAATGTGAGAAAAGATGTCAGATAGAATGTCAGAAGATATGCCAAATAGAATGCCAGAAAGAATGTCAGAAAAAATGTCAGAAGATATGCCAGATAGAATGCCAGAAAAAATGTCAGAAGATAAGCCAGATAGAATGCCAGAAAGAATGTCAGAAAGAATGTCAGAAGATATGCCAGACAGAATGTCAGAAGATATGCCCGAAAGAATGTCAGAAGATATGCCAGATAGAATGCCAGATAGAATACCAGAAGATATGCCAGATAAAATGCCTTGAGATATGCCAGATAGATATGCCAGATAGAATGTAAGATAGAATGCCAGAAGATTTGCCAGATAGAATGCCAGACGATATGCCAGAAGATATGCCAGAAGATATGCCAGATAGAATGCCAGATGGAATGCCAGATAGAATGCCAGAAGATATGTCAGATAGAATGCCAGAAGATATGCCAGATAGAATGCCAGAAGATATGCCAGAACATATGCCAGAAGATATGCCAGATAGAATGCCAGATAGAATGCCAGAAGATATGTCAGAATATTTGCCAGAAGATATGCCAGATAGAATGCCAGATAGAATGCCAGAAGATATGTCAGATAGAATGCCTGAACATATGCCAGATAGAATGCCAGAAGATTTGCCAGATAGAATGCCAGAAGATATGCCAGAAGATGCCAGAAGATATGCCAGATAGAATTCCAGAAGATATGCCAGAAGATATGCCAGAACATATGCCAGATAGAATGCCAGATAGAATGCCAGAAGATATGTCAGAATATATGCCAGAAGATATGCCAGATAGAATGCCAGATAGAATGCCAGAAGATATGTCAGATAGAATGCCTGAACATATGCCAG